GAGTGAAGAGAATCAATAGAGTTTGACAGGTATAAGAGCGAAACAGAATGGGTAATGGTAGAAAGGAATATGAAAGATTACAGAGACTGAATACATCTGCGCCCATTGACAACGATTTTGAGCCATGTCACCTATTGTCTCCAGCCATTGATTCCTAGAGTCCCGAGGGCCCCAACCCGGGAGTCTGCATCTCCCCACCTGTCTCAGTTTAACTGTCAAGGATTTCATGGATTGATGCCATGTTTTTGTTTGGCCACCACTGGCTCTTTTCCAACCTGAACCTATATCAGCTAGCAATGCCCGTCGGGGGAGGCGATGGTTAGGCATGCGCACCACCTAACCTAGCCATCTCAATCTATGTAACTTTATAGCCTCGTCGATTGATTTTCCCTCTTTGCCCAACACTCTACGCCTAACGTCAACATTACTTATCTTGTGAAACCACCTAACGTGAGAAAGAGATCGCAGACATCTATGATCGAAAGCAGTCAACCTTTTCATGTCTTCAACTCCTATTGGCCATGTTTCAGAGCCATAGAGAAGGACGGTGCGAGCTGCTGAGCAGTACACACATCCCTTGGTTGATAACCGGATGTCACGCCTACGCCAGAGATGGTGTAAGTCAGCGAAAGCAGCTCGAGCTTTTCGGATCCGTGCTGAGATTTCGTCGCCAATCAGTCCGTTGGTGCTAATACAACTTCCCAAATAGGTGAAGTGGTCAACATGTTCTATCACTTCACTCCCTATCACTAAGTTAGGGGTTGACGTGGTCCAGTCGTGTAGCAGCATCTTACATTTAACAGGGGCGAATCGCATGCCAAACATACGAAGATTGCTGCTCAAGGTGTTCAGAAGACTCTGCATTTTGTCAGCATCCTCCCCTAACAGGACTATGTCATTAGCATATTCTAAGTCCATAAGATTATTCCCTGGTAACAAGTCGATTCCTAAGTCATTACGTTCAGTTAAAACTTGGGCTAAAGAGAACCACCATCGACATGTTGCATATAGTTTCTGTTATTCAATTTGCTTAAATCTAGTAAAATATGACCTTTATTTGTATTTTATTTACTCTGACAAATATTTAAAATGTTTTTACAACCTGTTGATTCGCAAGTTGCTAGCAAATATGAGAGAAAGCATAATTCTGGGTGGCGTTGTTTCCCAGTACATGAGATAATTGTTCCTGAGTTATATACCCTTGGTACACAAAATGTACTCCTCATTCAATCAGATATCGTGCATTTCTCGAGGGAGATAAAGAAAAGATATCACAATGGATTGGTTTTTGCTTCAGATCAGATAGCACTGTGTTACACTATCTACTGCGCGGCGATGGCACAGTGGTTAGGACTCTCGCTGACCATGCACATGGTCCCAGGTTCGATCCCCTGCCGACGCACTTGATATCTATGGTTGGCCTGCAAAATTCGGGCTACCGATATCACATGCTGTAAATTCCATACTTGTACCAAAAATACAGTGTGGAATCAAGCTGTAATCAAAAATTAAATTAATATTTTGTCCGAATATCTCGAACGAAGAGAAAATATCATCCAATAAACTCCCCTGAAAATTCTGTGCATTATATAAACACACTGATCAGAATAAAGCCATTATTATTATGATTTAAGATTATCACTGCTATTCAAACAGCTAAGAAAACCCACAGAAATAAAAAGCAGTTTAATAAAGAAGAAACAAAAGAAGTAAAAGACAAGATTAGGCCAGATTCACATAATTCCCTTCCATTAAATATTCACAGACAACACCCCTATTCGGTTATTGTCAAGATGTTTTGATTGCAGTAGATTTTCAAGTACTGGTTTTTGTAGGGATTTTGTTTGATCGCATGAAGGATTTCATCAAGGACCCAGTGAATCAATGGTCTACGAGCTCGCCTTGCAACCAGAAGGTCCTGAGTTCTAACCCCGGTGGATGCGTACTGATGAAGAGTCCCGAACTAGGACAAAACAGCTGTGCAATACTCTCAGGCTTTCCAATGGTTCTTTAACCAATGTCAGCTCATTGTGAAATCCTGTAATTTTTGATTAATTTGTTTTGGAGGATATTCAAGGTCGTGCAATCAATCAGATATTGATTGTCTGTTTCTGTTGATGTGTAAACGATATACATACTCTGTATTGTGAATAATAAAAGGTTGTTGTTGTCATGGTTGTCGCAGTTAAAACTGTCTCCTGTGGTCTATCCAGTTTGGGAGAATATTTTTTCAAGTGAACAGTTGATTAGAGTATTGTATATGGAGGCGAATCGTAGTCAAAATAGACGAAACCCGACGAATTATGAATACTCCGTTACAACATTAACATATTTTAATTTCACTACATTTCCTTCTTATTATTTTATATATGGTTTGCCGACGCACGCACACCTGATATCTATGGTCGGCCTGCAAAATTTGGGCTACCAATATCCATGCTAAAAATTCCATACTTGTACCAAAAAGGTACTGTGTGGAATCAAGCTGTAAATCAAAATATAAAAAAAAATGATAAAATTGAACAGGAATGGTGACATTTGGTATTCAAGTTGTTAATGTCACTTCAAATGACAAATCTCCATAAACTCTTACATGATCGTGAAGGTTCTATTGGAACAATACACCTCGACTGCACTCCTTGGTAGCTAAACATTACCTTAACACCTCTCAACTGAGGGAGTTAGATTCAGCCTTTAGATAAAGAAATATAGCAAGTGATGGAGGCTGGCAAGTACAACTGTCGAAGGGTGGAGATCTGATGAGTGCACCTCTGTTGAGACCTTAGACTTGCATAGGTCTCACGGATTTGTTTTGCCAAGCCTCCACTTAGTCTTGATGTGACTACTGATCTTGGAGTCAAGTTGACTAACCTATGATTATCGCAAGGGTTTTTGCATTTTTATAGGCTAGGATGATCAAAATTCTTCACTACCCTGATAGAACTATAGCGTATTCTCATAAACCCATTTAGTTAGCATACCTTAGTTATTATAGTTAATAATTCTTTTCTGCTACTCTTGAAGACTTAAGGAGTCAAATAACAAGTGTTGTTACTTCACCTCATTGGAGACGACAGACAGACTTTTCAACTGCGTCCAAAGTTGAACAACCGATATTCAAAAAAATAAATAGCTTAACTGATGAAAACAGAAAGTGAACATTGAAATAAGGACGAGGATGCAAAAAATAGGCGGCAAACAGATAAGTTCCATGTGATGATGGAAGCTTGTTGGTACTCATCTACTGTCAACATCATAGAAGTCTTGTATCCTTGAATTTTTTTATCACAGCTTGATTTCACACCGTATTTTTGGTGCAAGTATGGAATTTTCAGCATGTGATATCGGTAGCCCAAGTATTGCAGGCCGACCATAGATATCAGGTGTGCGTCGGCAGGGGATCGAACCCCGGATCATGTGCATGGTAGGCAAGAGTCATAACCGTTGTTCCACCGACGCTTATCTTAGAAGTAAAAGGATGATAACGTGTGATTAATGTAGAAACCATGGGACATCTACCTGGAGCAACCATTCTACAGATGACGCAGATAGTAGAGTTTCCTTCGTACCAATGCTGCCATAGCTAGTAAGAGGCAGGGTGTGCGAACTTCTAAGTCTCCTGGACTTTCAAGAGTGATACCTTATTACTTCTATACCTTTTTCCACAAATAGTACTGCTTTGCCTTAGGTCCTCACTGTGTATTATGACGGTAACCACTTTTAGCCTCACAACTATCCCTCCGATATTTCTGACCCTTATTCCAACCAACATGGCTTGTCGGGTAACGGCGATAGCAACCTCAACTACTACATCAATGCAGTTGTTAGTGAATAAACACTATCATTCAGATTATTTGACAAATTACCTGGGTTATAAAAACGATTTTCCAGTGACTAAATTTTATCAGCGACTGAGACTAAGGAAATGGGAAAATCCTTTTGTGACAGTTAGTGAAATTACACCAACCATGTGACATTAATTTAGATATATAAAACACATTTTGGGACAATATATGCAGTTTTCAAACCTGGATAGGTGTAGAGATCAAATCTTCATTCTAGAATATTTCTCTGCTTCTGTATGATGCAAGTAGTATTCTTTATAACGGGAAATCATATATAACTTCATCGATTTAGAGGTTTCGTGGATGTATCCCTCATTAGAGGAAATGTCTAGCAAGCACACCAAACAAAATGCATTTACCTATAGCATATAAATGTTTGAGCGTATCACTGCATCTGTAATCTTAGTTAAAAAATTCATTCAATGCGTTCTCTGCATTCACTGAATAGATATGATGCAGAAGATTTGTAGCTCAGGTGGATAAATAATCACCTAAAGAAATATGTGACCGGTCTAAAGGAAAAATGAAACTTGAAGAGAATGAGTTTAGCTTCATTATATGAGAAATCATCGAAAGAAGGAGAGAGAGAGAAAGCTTAAGAATATCTATACCCAAACCAGGTGGGAAAGAATCCCACAGTTTAGTGTTGTAAGAAGCAGTTTTGGCGAGAAAATGTGAATATGGAATTAAATCAATTATTAATGAGCATCGTATCATTAAAAGATTTGTTTACTTGGGATTTATTTGGTGACTTGATATTTATTAGTCTCGTGGTAACACCAGCATTGAGGTGTCTCTAGAAAAGTTCAATATGGATGACTGATAAATTAAATTTACTGATCTTCGTAAAAAATAATAAAACTATGGATCAACAAGCAACGCAAACATTCATAAATTTTAACCTAAATTCAATTTTCTTATTTCGGCAACCTAAGGGTTGATTGGTTTTAGGGAATGTGGTGACAGAAAAGTATTCCATTGATCGCTGATAAGTAGGCAAGGTGCTTCTGCTTTTTATACAGCCACACTTTCCATTATCCCTTAAAATTTGCCAGTTTTACTTCTGGAAAGCTATAAAAAACTATCTTTACAGTAATTACTAAATTACTAAAAAGAATAACGGGAAAACTACGATTCATTGTTCTAAAAACTTACCAGGTATATGTTGAATTTGATCGCCAACACGCACTGAAAATGTTTCTCCAGCATCCACATGAACCATTACATAATAATTGCCATTTTCATTTGTACCCTTGTTTGCACCAATTGACTGTGAACTGGGTGACGTTTTGGTAGAATTTGTTACTGATCCATCAAGAGTGCCAGTTGCAAGTGGCAATTGATTGTGTGTAGTTGCTTCCAGTACACCGGAAGGTGAAATATTTTTATATTCGGTATTTAAAGGTAGATTTGGTAGTTGATGGTTAACAGGTTGCAGATGAGTAGAAGAAAGATTAGCTGAAGTCGGATTTGGAAGAATATACGGTCCACGTGGATGAAACAATAGAGGAGATAAGGGTATACTTGAAGAACTGACTCCAGTTGGTATAACTGCAGGAATCTGAGTTGGAAAAGCGGAGTGTGAAACCGCGGATATACGGAGCTCTTGAACAGAATTTGTTGGCAAGTTGAATGTTTGAGGGACACTATGGTTATACGAACTTAGGTTATGTGATATTTCAGCATTTCTTGGAGTATTAGAACTCTCAGAAACAGAATGAGTTAACATTGTATCATTTTGTAGACTTCTTGAATTTAGTTCCATACTCATACTGTCAAATGTTTGAAAGCCATGGGAACAACTGCATGGTCTTGTGCTATTTTGAGCACAACTGGATTCTAGTTTGGACAAGGAATTACCATTTTTTATACTGATTTGAATATTCTCATTAAGCATGTTGTAACATATCTGTATATACTGGAACAGATCATAGTTTTACAAAAAGCAGTAGTTCTTAACTTTTGAAGAATTAGTCTTGGTTACACTTTTGTCTTTTGCAGCCAACAAATGATGTCCAATAAAGTCAACATCTATTATAAACAGAATAATTTACACTGGAAATAAATGATGAGTAAAGACTGAAAAAAAATCCTTGAATTATTAAAATGAAAAAAATTAGGAAACAATTCCCATTAGATATGTCTACATCTAATCAAAACTAAACGGAAAGATTCGAAAAATGAACGCATAACTGGTTTATATAATTTGGTAACTTTTCCACTAACTACGATCATAAACAGCGAATAATGTATTCTGACTACAAACTAATATTGACTAAATAGACTGAAAAGAATAAGTAGGTGTTTAAGAACTTGGTTTTGTTGAAAACAGTCAAGAATTTATAATAACGCCATCAGATGAAATAACGGAGAAGATTTGTAGTTCTGGAAGAGAATGGAAATTGTTTCAGTCCACCTGGGCTTTGATAATCGAATAAAATTTAAAAGGTGATGATCGAAAGTGAGACGAAAATCTAAATCTTGGCAGGATACAACTTGACCCCCCCACACACAGACACACACATTTTCCTAATTCAGAACAATAACAATCGACAAAAGACATAGCTAGGCAGCTAGCATGTTGATAAACAGATAGCTACATGTTGTGAGCTCACTTAGCAGCTGGACAATGCCCGTGATGTTGGGTTTAGAGATGCAGCTGACAGAGGGCCGCGCTAGTAGTCCAGGCGTTCGAATATTGTCGCGACTATTACTTGTTACTCACGACATAAACGGTACTCTGTCAACACAGAGCTATTCTCCACATAGTTGCATTATCAATTTGAACAAAAATAAATCAGTAGACTTAGTTGCTTCACGTGCTACACGGAATGTGGCGACTTGAACTTCCGCACATTTGTGCAAAGTTCTATGTCGAAAACAGACAGACAGACAGACAGTAGACTTATGATTCATGCTAATCACAATACATGTCAAAATGCGAACAAATACCTGCAATATATATAAGCTACTCGTTACAATAAGACGAAACGAAACGTCTTATTTTCGATGCACAAATAAAAAGCTTAATCTAGGTTTTAACTCAGAATATGTGGAACCATTTTTAAGTAAGAGATTGTCGAATGACCATATCAAAAAGATAAACTGACCTTCCGAACATTCTGAAGAAGGATTAAGAACATATTTCTTACTCACATACTCAGTAACTTTAGTGCGCTGGCATTCACCCCAGTAATACAAAGTCATATAGGCTGACTTCTTTACCTATGTGGGAGGTTGAACCGGGGGTATCATGGTTGCTTACCCGTAAAACCAGATAAACACGGCTTGCATAAATATTTGCTAACCAGGCTGGTAAAAATCTGACTACTTTCCAGAAACATGAAGATGCACCTTGTTGGCTTACGCATTTGGCTAGCAGCCAGAAGATTCTGAGTTCTGGTCTCACTCCACCTACTTCAGCTCGGAAATCTGGGTGTTACGAACATCTCCCATAAAATAAGAGGGGCTCATAGCTGCGTAAATAAAAAATTTGTTCCAGGTAAGTGAACGGACAAGAAACATCTCCTGCAGATCAGACACAATAAATATCACCCAGACATCTCATTTTAGGCTTATGATAGATGGTATGAAAGAAATAACGAGGATCTACAATCAGAGAGAACGAGAGCAGAGTAATAGCTGATACTACTTTTATTTGAAAATTACGTAATTAAGCCAAGCCAAGGTTTAGAAAAGTGCAAGCACCCTAACAAAGAATTATATTCAACCACAGCATCCAAATTCTTGTCTGACATTAATTCCTAACGATGTTTTCTGTAATGTTAGAAACCATATATTAGAGATAGCAAGCATACTGCTCAAGAATGAGTACAAGAGCAGACGAGTAACCATTTATTCTCTTTCAGCTCCTAAGGTCTTAATTTTTGTAACCATTCTTTTTCACCAAACACTTTAATACTTTATGTTTTTACTGGTTTATTTTGTCACTATGTATGCATTTTGCGGAGTCAAACTGAAAAGTGCTGCGAAACTGGCAAGACTCTGTTACTGCATCCACGCTCAAAAGTATCCAAAGGTTGATGTGGGGGTCTATGTATAATGTGTAAAAAGTTCGAGCCGCATACAATTTTGGCGTATTCATGATTTTACTCAGACCATTAGAGGACAAGCTAACAGCTGTTTGGTACCTACAGTTCCATTCTCCATTTGTGAAGTTTAACACCTCTGGGCTGGTCTACTCAGTGAACTCAATCGCCGCTGTCTTGACAGAAATGTTAGAATTCACTGATGATAACACGTAGTTAATTATGAGGTTCAGTGCTGATGAACTACAAGCCCCATGGAGCTTGCAAAACAATTCATATCAGTGACTCGAATGTAGCAATAACCTACTTTGGTAATCTTTACCCGATTATGTAACCAAACAGAGTGTTAATCATTCTTACTACTCTTGAATTTCTTTTTTCACTTTATGTATTTTAATTAGCCTTTATTTTCCACATAAATTGACTTGACAGATCAGTGTGTGATCAGATTGTTCGAAATGTATTGCGCAAATACATAATATTTTTCAGATAATCTCCGTCTTCTAATAACACTATCAAAATTTATAGTGTTTATGTTGGTTTTTGTAGCACACTTATTGATGCTCACGAACACACACATTTTGTTTTGTATGCTACTGAAAAATGGGTCCTCAAAAGCTGTACACTAGAGATTTGTGCAGAGTATCAAAGAAACGTGAATAAAATGAAGTCAATTCACTGATATAAGAATAGAATTACGGAACTATGGTAGTGTAAGCGATCAGGAACAATAGGTTGTGCTCAAAACCTCATATTGTGTCCATGTTTTTACCTAATAAAATTATGCTATGATGAGATAGCTTCACGCGACTTTAACTCACAACAACACCATAAACGGGGGCGAGTTAAGAAAGGATGATATTTCGGTGACCGATTGAGGCATAAAAATGGAACAATATAATAAAGGTTAGCAAAATCTTTCAAAAGATTAGTGATAAATGGTAAATGTGTCTGAGACACAGTGAACAATTTATGGCCGAGTCACCAAGGATCTGCAACAAGTGATTCTTGCTATTTCAATGCAAACAACTTCGATTATTCTATGTTAGTATGGCAAACAGACTATGGCTCTATGGATTAAAAATTTATTCTACTCAGAATAGGACCACTTTTTAAGCTGAGACCAAATATAGCTACCCTTTTGAGTGAGTGGTGGGTGGGTATTCATCACACAACTAGAGAATTCATTTGGTTTTTTAAAGATTCATGATTGATAACTAGTGTTAGAATCACTTAAGCAACAGTATTAAAATATGCATAATGAAAGGGTAGTTAGTTTATTCTGCCATTCACAGTTAATGCCCCTACCTCATGTTAATCAGTGGCATTTGGAATCAACAAATAAACTCATAAACAAAGGACACCAATGAAATCTACTAGGTTCGACCAAAATCAACTTGAAAAAAGTGGCCAGTGATTAATACATGCTGTTCATAACCTTTATCTTCACACTCACAAACATGTGGAGTACGTCAAACAGACTCTCAAGCCCATGCCAAATTAGGCAATGCAGGATTTGAACGAGAAAGACAGTGGATGGAAGTCAACACCAGTCCTAAATACAGGGGTTCACACGATCAGAAAAATTCTGCCCAGTTACAACATGTAAACAAAACTCTAGTAGAGCTCTTTGGGCAGTAGCCGATTTTCAGTAAAACATTCCTGATATTAGAGATGATAAATTTTAGCGAACTACCACTAAAGCGAAGGTAATAATGAGCTTAGTGTATCCGAACTTATTACTACGTTTTCAATCCCTAATTGCACAAGTTTCTCACTGATTACGAACCTACTATGCTTTTTTAAATCTGATCTTCCTGTTTATTACACTGTAATTTTACTAAATCGACGCTTGATCAGAAATAGTTCTGCAGCTTTCTCACCCGTTTAAAATGAATACACGAACATCCAGTTTACTTGATGACTTCGATATAAAGAAAATTTCGTTTACTGCGACCGTCTTTCTAATATTGCTCAATACTAACTAAACCATCATACTTTTCTATGGAACTATTCTTTTGCTTTTATATTTTGCTTCTTATACTTGTTCTAAGTCCTTTTTAAGATCTCTTTTACCTTTCCTTGTGCGCTACGCTGTCAACTCGAACTGCTGTACTTCTGTGAAAAGTTCTATGCTAAAACCAGTGAGCTGTTCAATCAAAAATGAGCTTAATGACACTACTATAGAGTCAAGACGAGTTCAAGAGTTAATAATTCAAACGGTTAAATGACCCTCAAGGCTCTCAGCAAAACTTTTACTATGTTTACTTGTTAAATCTTCACTGATGACACAAAAATTAACATCAACCTACGCTACCCTTAATTAATCGGTCTTGAAACTGATAACATGCCAACAACATCTTAAAGTTCAAAAACTACAGCATAAATGTCTTCAGCTAGTGACCCATTTTTGGCACGGGGTAGTGGAGGTGTATATTAGGTATCACATACGGTCAAAGCTTAATTTATTTACTAATCCGAATATAAACACGAAATTCAACAGAACCTAAACACCTGACATTCTATTTTTGAAAACGTGAAACTCGAGTTTCAGGTGATTGCCATTTACTGGATAAAATTACTTGTGTGTACATCAAGAGCATCTTCAGGCTACAAATCATGATTAGAAACTGTGGAATAAACGTTTCCTCAAAAAGATCCTTAAGTGTACACCAGCGACTCTAGCAACATTGATTAAGTAGTATCAGCTTCATCGATGAACGCTTTCAAAGAGAAGTTAGATCTCTTCAGAGATGTATTTTGCAAGTATTAATACGGGTCACAAGAGCCTTCTGTCCTTATCATCTGAATCTGATAGTCACTGAATTCAGCGCTTTGAAAGAGGAGAGTGGCATTTTTAACGTTGTGAAGTAAATTCCGCTTTTGTTGTTTAAACCACATCAGAAGCTTTTAATTCACTTTGATTTATTTAGTTGAAGTGTTGTTTATTTTATCCACATTTTGTGTTTTGGTTGGTATTTACCTAGCTGTCACACGTATATATATTTGTGTATTTGTTTGGTATTAACCTCACTGTTTTCACGTACATATAACTGTGTAATTGAAACAAATTAAAATTATGGCCCCAACTAACAATTGTGGACGACCGGACTGCCACTTTCCGGTGGATGATGGGATGCAGTGTGACAACTGCAGCCTTTGGTTCCACAAAGTTTGCACTGGTTTAACACCAGTAGCCTATACGAGATGTTGCAAGCCATCATCTCCATGGCTGTGCAAATTTTGCAGCAACCCGTTAGATGTCCTCATCCAAGAGGCAGTAGGACTCTTGGTGTCCAAGAAATAGTCGAAAGACATAGTTGAAAAGCCTGTATCAGAAACCTTAGCCAAGGATGGCGGTTCAGGACATAGTTGTAAGACCCAGGATGCATCACCTCCTGAAGTCTCAGAAGCGAAAGAAGCACAAAATGCCCAAACATCTGTTGCTGCAAAGCGCAAAAGGCAACGGAAATCCAGAAGGGCAAGTAGTGTCAGCATGGCAAAACCAGCCTGTGAAATAGCAACGCCAAAGCGCAGCGTGTCTAGTGCACGAATTGCTTCTTGTCGCGGCGAAAACAGAGTAGGAGAAACCGACTCCACTTGGTTGCTGCCGAAAGGTAAGAAGCAGAACAAAACTAGGAAAGAAACAGTAGCCGAGTTTACCAACAAAGTCTCGACGACTGTTAGTACCTGTCTGTCTGTTTTCGACATAGAACTTTGCACAAATGTGCGGAAGTTCAAGTCGCCACATTCCGTGTAGCACGCGAAGCAAGAGAAGAAAGTACAAGAAAAGCATAATAGAAACAGTGAGCAGAGGTGTGAGACAAAGGAGTAATAAAGAAATACAAAACAGTTTCGTTGAAGATCATAAGTCACAGGGAGTGGATGCATCTGCGCCACTGAGAACGGTTTTGAGCCATGTCACCAATTGTTTCCAACCATAGATTTTTACCGTCCCGAGGACCCCAGCCTGGAAGTCTACACCGTCCTACGTGGCTTACACCAACTGTTGTGGATTTCATTGACTGATGCCAAGTTTTTGTTTGACCGCCGCTAGCTTTTTTCCAGCCTGACCCTATATCCGCTAACATTGCTCGTCTGTTAGTACCAGCCAAACTCAGAAACCCCCGGACTCTAGTTACAGTATTATCATCTGGAACTTCGAGAAATCTAAGAACACAGATTCAGCTGCCCGACATGCAGATGATCTGAAGGCGATCAGCTCCATTTTCCGGGAAATACTTCCCGAAAAAACAACTGGAGTACACGTACGAAAAGCTATCAGGATCGGAAAACGAAACCCTGATGCTACAGAAACTTCTCGACGACTAGTTAAGATAGTTTTAGGGAACGAAACAGAGAGGAGCACCATCCTCGACAACGCGTTCAAAGTCAACGACAAAAGTCTAAAAATAAGGCCTGATTGGCCTTTAGAAGATAGAATCAAAAGAAGAGAAGCCGTGGCTGAACTAAATGCCAGGCTAGAGAAAGGCGAAAAGGACCTCAAGCTATTGGGTTTTCGGGTGGTGAGGTCTCGGAAACCGATGCTGCCGAGACCTCTCTTCATAAGCCGGGTGAACACGTAGGTGTTTCGGTGTGCTATACGAACGCATGTAGTCCTAGGAATAAGCTCACCGAATTAGGAGAGTTATCTGAAAGACTACAACCCGATGTAATTGCTATCACTGAGACGTGGTTGTTAGTGGGTGTAGACTTAACTCCACTCATACCTGGGTATATCTGCATACGAGCAGACAGAGTAAGTAGTCGGAAAGGTGGGGGGGGGGTTGCTCTATACATCCGGGATGACAGGGATCAGGTAGACGTTGTCAGAAGCTCATGACAGCGTCACCAGTGAAGCCGCAAGTTGCATCATTAACTTAAACAAAGGCACTTTAACGATCGGAGTTATTTACAGAAGTCCTGCTAGCCAAGCTGATGACTTCGTTCTAAATCACTTGAGGGCGTGGGGTAGTAGAAATAGGTGTCTGATTGTTGGCAACTTTAACGCTCCACATATTAATTGGGGGGAATTAAACTCCACTAGTTTGTATACCTGTTTGAATAGGGAGCTCACATTGACAGTGCTTGAATGTGCACATGGCTTGTTGGCTGTGGAACAGCATGGATTCCGACCAGGACGATCCTGCTTGACAAACCTACTTTTGGCTAGGGAAGACTGGGTTGAGGCCAGAGATAGGAACCATCTGTTGGACGTGGTTTTTATTGATCTTAGCAAGGCGTTCGACAAAGTATCCCACTTAGGTCTCCTTAGTAAACTTAAAGGTTTCGGACTAGACCAATGCCTATGTGAGTGATTTAGAGATTACTTAATAGATAGAAGGCAGAAGGTTAGAGTTAACGGTGTACTATCAGGATGGAAAGCAGTATCCAGTGGAGTGCCCCAGGGAACTGTATTAGGTCCATTGCTATTCCTATTATACGTTAACGAATTACCAGGGATTCTTTCTTCATCTTCATTATTATTTGCAGATGACATTAAGATATGGAAAACTGTAAACAATAACGAGGATAGGTCGGCCCTACAAACTGATTTAGATAAATTAGCTGAGTGGTCAAGCCTATGGAGTTTGGAAATGAATGCTAGGAAAAGCGCGGTAATGCACTTAGGTCAGAAGTCTTATGCGTCGTACTCCCTAGGGGACGCAGAACTACCTGATGTTAACGAACAGAAGGACCTAGGAATCATTGTCAGCAATGATTTGAAGACAACTGCAAATTGTAATGCAGCCGCAGCTAAAGCATTTCGAATGCTATGGGCAATTCGAAGGACTTTCAAACGATTAGACGAGGGTATGTTCCAAACACTACGCAACATATGTCAGGCCTCATCTAGAATACTGCATACGAGCGACGAGTCCATGCTTCAAAAAGGAGGCGCATATTCTGGAAAGAGTACAGAGAGTAGGAAAAAAATTAGTTAGTGGTATCTCACACCTTCTTTATGATAAGAGGATGGAGCATTTAAATCTCTTCCCGTTATCATACCGAAGGAAGAGAGGCGACTTAATCTTAGCATACCGTTTACTTAAGGGTGATTTAGGAACTGAACTTTCTAACCTTTTTTCCCCTTCTAGGATACATTTAAGGGGTCACCGCAAAAAGGTGCTCAAACCAAGGACGATTAAAATAGGTGCAGAATTTAGATTCTCGCACAGAGTGGTCAACGATTGGAACTCCTTACCTGATTCAGTAGTATCAGCTCCATCGGTGAACGCTTTCAAAGAGAAGTTAGATCTCGGCAGAGATATACTTTACAAGGATTAACACAGGCCACAAGAGCCTTCTATCCTTATCATCTGAATCTGAATCTGTCAGATATATAGTCACTTAAGTGACTATATATCATAGTATTTCTTCAAAAGGTGTCATTCAAACGAACGAGTAAAGTCGGAGGTTAACTTCTGAGTACACTGTGAAACATCATAATAAAAATCGAATTTCTTCTAATTAACTGAAACTGACAATGTATGTAAAACGTTTTTTGCTAAAAGTATTCTCAAATGATTTTGGATATATTTAAAAATGCAGCAAAAAATTCTAATACTACTAACTCAAAACAAATTTAACAATGTCCTACACTCTATTTCATCAATGAAAGGATAACCACTTTCGACTCACAGAAAAACCAATAACAGACAGCAATGAACGAAACTTGCGCCAAATGAAAAGTGCAATAAAATGGTGTGAAAAAACTGTCAATGAGTTCAATATCCAATATCCAATATGGTTTTTACGAGCTAGTATAAACCAATTTGATTTCTTTGTGCTCGCTTCTTGATTGTGAGGTATAGGTTCTTGATCTTCGGTAAACTTCTGCGTAGCTTGTCCCGCCACTCGACTGTCGTAGCTTTGGTTGACTCCAAAGGGAGTAGTGCTGGGATTAATTATGTGTGGTTTGTAGTATGAGGTATGTTAAGACTGTTACTACCGTGATTGGAGTTGATCCTTTCGCCAGTTAGTCCTTCGGTATTGTCGACAAGAGAAAAGAGATAGTAATAATAATAATAGTAATAATAATAATAATAGATATAATTAGTGAAGCTATTCAGACTAAGAGACAGAAACGAAAATAGGAAACGTAACAACAGTCAGCTCATTAAGTTTGAAGAATAATATATATATTGGTAATAGTAATAATAATAATAGTAATTATAATATTAATAAGTTGTCAGGAGAGTAGGACGGGAGAGAATGTAAAGAAGTAAAATGACGAGTTTAATTATCTACCCTGATTGGTAAATGCGATTTTAAGGAGATAGGCCATTTGGATGCAGTCCTTGTATCGCTGCATGGTTGTCCAGCCTTCGCTTAAATGTTTCCAAAGACGGCGCCATAGCTACATCTGCCGGCAAGGAATTCCAGGGACGACAAACCCGCAGTGAAAAGAAGTGGGAGCGCACCCGGGTCCTTGGCCTCTGGTGAGCTATCCTTCTGGGATTTCCACGTGGAAGCCTATACCTACTCAATGGCAGAACACCTTTGTTTGGGTGATTCTGGTCATTTGTTATTTTGTAGGCAGTAATCAAATCCCCCCTAAGCCGACGGTAACTAAGTGTGAACAGGCCTAATTTCTTCAGCCTTTCATCATATGGTTTGTTTCGGAGACCAACCACTCCTTTTGTTGCCCGTCGTTGGACTCTTTCCAAGAGGTTGGCATTTCTTCTCAGCATTGGGGGTGCAATAATATTATGCACCTCAAGGTGTGGCCTGACGTATGTTTTGTACAACATTAGAAAGAGCTCAGGAGTGAGTGCACCTAACTGTCTATGCGTAAAGTGTATGACCGCATATGCCCTCGCTACATCCCCTGTGTAATTTACGCTTGTGTCCATTTTTTCCGTTAGAACTAGACCTAAGTCGCGTTCCGACGTTGTGCAGGACAAGCTTTCATTGCACAGGGTGTAACTTGCATTCTGCAGTCTACAGGTGCGCAACTTCACTACTTTGCACTTTTTCAAGTTGAAAGTCATGCCACTGGCCACCGCCCAGTCTTCCAGAAGGTTTAGGTCTTCCTGTAGCCTATCTGAGTCCTCCGGACACTTTATCGCCCTCCATATTTTTACGTCGTCAGCGTATGACACCTGTATTTTTAACATGAATAAAGAATACGCAGATATCCTTCTTATATTCTTTAAATGAACTTTTCATCTCTTCTGACTGCATCAAGGAAAAAACAATCGAGGATAGCATATCTCGAAGTTAATCACAGAAGCGCATGACGCTTTAGATAAACCCCTAATCTATAGCCAATTAGTTTAACTTTGAACTTCGCAAAAGCTTGTTGGAACACCCTTTTAAGACGTGATAGGGAGGGACTGTACTTCGTGGTTTTCTTTGTGTTACATAACCTGAATGTGAAGTCACTATGGTTCTGGACTGCACCTTCGAAGAAGTCGATAGGGGCCAGTCGTCCTTTCGGTAACTTGCTTCAAAGTAGTAAACGCCATATAACAATAATAATAGTTAAACTGACAGTAATAATAGCCCTATCTCATCCGATAAAAGCACAGTCGTGCTGTAGGGGATTAAAGAATTTCGCCATATCAGTCGAGCCACCAAATATCACTTCGTTCATTTGTGCCGATTGAAACACAGGGTGGACTATGTGGTTTCCAAGGGACAAGACCCTGACAACGGGATTGTGAATCTCAACACTCTATCAAACTTATTATCAATATGTGCGTTTTCCGTGAGCCGTAAGTTCTGTATTCTTTGCCAGTAGGAGCAGTTGGCCATTTCGTTAGCCAACCGGTTTCCTGAAATACAGCATTATTTACTGATGACATCTCGGGCACAATTTAATACTCACAATCACATTAAAGCGCTCACACATCTTCCAAAACTTATTCACATGAATACATCACCTCTCATCATCTGATTTTACTGTAGTATTCTTTTCCATATCTCTGAATTAGGTGTCGCATCATTTCTATTTTAAGCGTCAGGTGCAGATTCAGTGCACAGAAATTTAGGTTTGACCACGAGTTGACATTAGTTAGAGAACCACTGGAAACCCTTGAAGTGCTGGACAGCTTCCTCTCCCTGGTTTGTGACTCTTCAGCAATCCTCAGCCACAGGGGTTTGAACCGTTTCAGTTACAACGTCAGTCATCAGCCTTTCCGGTATCCCAATCACACTATGTTTTAGAACTATCTCGCTTCACCCTAGTGTGATTGCGATTTACTGGATACGTAAAGGTTGATAGTTTCCCGTAGACTAATCATATTCGTAGAGTTAGTCATTCTTCACTTTACCAAATTCTTATGTTTCGGTTGTCGGACCATGCCGGAACTCCTGATTCGACTCCTGTGGTTGACCTCGCAGTAAAATTTGTGAATAGGGACTTAACTCGCAAATGGTAAATGAATCGTTGAGGTTGGTTAGGTACTGCGAATTCGGTTTCCATTATGCTACCTGCATTTATTATTCATTTTGTAACTGCATTTTCATTTTATTCATGTTGCTAATTATTATTTACTATTATTGCTCCCTTGGATTCCTAGTGGAACATAGGGCTTCAACTGCACGTCTCCATTTTCTTCTGTCTTCTGCTATACTTTTCGCCTGCATCCATGTTAATCCATATTCTTTCAACTCCTCTTCACACGATCTCCTCCATGTCACCCTTGGACGTCCCACACGCCGCTTCCCTTTCGGGTTCCACTCGAGGGCTTGGCGCGCGATGTCACCCAGCGGTCTCCTCAGCGAGTGTCCGATCCATCTCCACTTTCTCCTGCATATTTGTTGGGCGATTGGTTCTTGCTTTGTTTGTTCCCATAATTCCTTGTTGGTGATTCTGATCTTCAGTATAGAGCGAAGACAGTTGTTAATAAAGGTCTGCAGCCTTTTGGAAATATTCTTTGTGACCCGCCAAGTTTCTGATCCGTATAGAAGAACTGACTTTACGTTTGTATTGAAAATCCGAATTTTGTTGGTGATGCTGAGTGACGAAGATTTCCAGATTGATTTCAGGCTGATGAATGTGTTTCTCGCCTTCCCGATTCTCGATTTGACATCCTCGTCCGTCTCCTCCTGTAGTTGAGACAATGCTCCCTAGATAAGTGAATGAAGTAACCTCTTTCAAATCCCTCCCGTTGATGGTGATTGACGTTGGATGTTGCTGCTGTTGTTGGTTGGTTATTTTCATAACCTCCGTCTTGTCTATGTTTACCTGGAGTCCTGTCTTTGCTGCTTCTTCGACCAGTTTGTCGGTTTTCGCTTGTAAGTCTTCGATTTTGTGTGACATCAAACATAAATCATCCACGCGCAAAATCCAGGTCTTCTAGGTTCTTCACGTCGGTCCAGGATATTCCTGTCTTCTCGTTTCCCACTGTCTGACGCATAATCCAGTCAGTCCACCACAATTAGGAATATCATTGGTGATAATAAGCAGCACCCTTGTCTGACTCCTGTGTTTACTCCAAACGCCTCGCTGAGTTTTCCGTTGTGGATCACTTGACATGTGCCGTTGTCGTACAGCTGTTGAATAAGGTTGATGAATATTTGGGGTACGCCATAGTACTCGAGTAATTTCCAAATTACTTCACGATCAACGCTGTCGAAGGCCTTCTCAAAGTCTATAAAGTTGAGGTAGAGGTTTGATTGCCATTCCATGCTTTGTTCTGTGATGATGATGCGTAGAGTTGCAATTTGGTCAGTACATGATTTGCCTTTCCTGAATCCAGCTTGTTCTGGTCGGAGTTCTGTCTCCAGTGCGTCCTTTAATCTCTCCAGGATGATGCGACTCAGGATTTTACTTGGCGTCGATAGGAGCATGATTCCTCGCCAGTTCTTGCAGAGTGAGTCCTAAGTCGCCCTTCTTTGGTAGTTTCACGAGGTAACCTTTCCTCCAGTCAGTAGGCACCTTTCCCTCCTTCCAGACCTTTTGCAATAATGGAGTCAGCATGTCTGCTGTCGTCTCTGGGTCTGCTTTCAGTGCTTCAGGGGGTATTCCATCTGGTCCGGCTGCTTTTCCAGCTTTCAGAAGTTTGATTGCGTTCAAGACTTCAGCTCTCGTTGGAGGATTGGTGTCAACTTGCAGTTGTGTGCGCGCTGTTGTTGGTATTTCTGGACGGGTTGCAGGTGATGGTCGGTTCAAGAGTCCTTTGAAGTGATCCGCCCATTGTTTAATCTGTTTTTCTTCCTTGGTAATGGGCTTCCCTTGGCTGTCTTTTATAGGTTTCGCTTGTGTTGGTCTCTTCCCGGATAGAGATTTGGTTATCTGATATAGTGTCCTCAGGTCCCTTTTGCCTGCTGCCTTTTCAGCTTCAGTAGCTAGATTGTCGTAGAATCGTCTTTTGTCCTTCCTAGCACTTTTCTTCACTTCTTTGTCCAATGCTTTGTAAGTTGAGCTCATCGTCTCCTTCTCCTGTCCGTCCTTGCATTGAATCATTTTCTCTTTCACCATTCTCCTCTCTTCTATTAATTTCCAAGTGTCCGTTGAGAGCCATTCCTTGTCTTGTCTCTTCTTTCTTCCTAGAACCGTTGAACACGTTTCGTTGAGAATCGCCTTCAGAGACTTCCAATGTTCTTCCACGCATGATTCTTCAGTGCTGTCGCGTAGTGTTTCCTGCTTTGCTCTGACAGTTGCAGTGAAGGTGTCTTTTGTGGTTGTGTCCTTCAGTAATTGAGTGTTGAACTTGCATTGTGGCCTATCCCCAGCTATCCTCGAGGCTTTTAGTTTCACCTTGAAAGTCCCTTCTACTAGATAGTGGTCTGAACCCACATCTGCTCCTCTCCTTGACCTTGTGTCCAGTAGGCTCCGTCTCCACTTTCTTGAAATTGAGATGAAGTCTATTTGGTTCTTGGTGTTTCCATCTGGTGAAATCCATGTCGTCTTGTGTATATCCTTGTGTTTGAACACACTACCGCCAATCACCAAATCATTGAAGGCGCAGAAGTCTGAGAAGAGTTCACCATTGTCGTTCATTTCACCGAGGGCCTCACGACCCATGGTGAGTTCTCTTCCTGTGTTGTCTCCTCCCAGCTTCGCATTCATGTCGCCCATCAGGATTTTGATATCGCCATTTGGGACGTTGTCCATTATTGCTTGTAGTTGTCTGTAGAACGCCTCCTTCTTCTCTTGTTCTGAGACGTTTGTAGGCGCATAGCATTGAATGACTGTAACTTTCCTTCCTTTTGAGTTGAACCTGGCTGTCATTATCCTGGAGGAGATTGGTTCCCACTGCATGAGAGCTTTGGTTGCTGTTGGTGACATCATGATGGCCACTCCCTCGGTGTGCTCATGGTTGTCCTCTAGGTGGCCGGAATAGATTACTGTCTCTCCAGTAGGTAGTTGGCACCTTCCAGTTCCGTTCCATCTGCTTTCGCAGATTCCCAACACTTCTATTCTGTACCTTCTCATTTCAGCGGCTATCTGGGCAGCCTTTCCAGTTTCGTACATTGTGCGAACATTCCAGGTACCCATCCTTACTTTTGCTTTCATCGAAAGAAGGCACATCGGCTGACTGGCTTCCCGAAGGCTTTCACCAGCCTGCGTCATTTCACTTCCCCGATTCCAGCGAAAAGTAAGGCTATTGCTTATGTTTTTAGAATTTTTAATATATTTATTCGTTGAAGTTTCTGTAGCGATTTGGTTGTTTTACAGGGGTGGAGTTGCTAGCACCACGCCCCAACCCTCCCTCTTTACCCGGGCTTGGGACCGGCGAGAAAACTAGTAGGCTAGTAGCCTAGCAAGCTAGTATCTGGCGTGGTTCATTTTGCTGAAGAATTGTTTTTTTTCCAAATATTGTCCATGAATTCAAAATTTACTGAAAATATATGTTCCTAAGACCTTGTGAAAGTAAAACCTTTCGATTTTGCTTTGTACACTTTGATGAGTCGCGACTTTTAGAACTCCAGAATGGTTTATATGTATTTCGTCGTGGTCGGTATCCATGGTTATTTGTGCTTATCTTGTGTACCATTGTGGAAATATTCGACATGCTCTTCCCTATTACACATGGTGTCAAGGAAAAATCATACTGGCATCCTTCGGATGATTGGAGAGTTCTAAATGAGCAAACCATCGCAGACGTATGCCCAGCACTTCAAAATCAAGCCTCAACTAATAGTCTTGGAGGCACCCCATCATATTTTAAAATAAGCTTGTTTCAAGCCTATCACTGTGTTTCGGCGACTGAAGGAGAAATTATCACCGGATT